CTGACTCCTTTGCCACGTGCATCATTGCCACAGCCTGTGCCTGGGTCTCTGCCCTGACAGCCAGGCAGCTCTGGGCGGTGAGTAGGGGCTCTGGCAGCCCCTTCCTCCCAGCCTGGCCCCCAGGCCCAATCTGGATGGGGGAGCTGGCGTGGGGGCAGCAGGCGCAGTTCCCACGGCTGCTGTGGCCCCACTCCCAGCCCCATCACGGCGGGCTGCAGCTCCACAGAATATCCTGGCAACCCCAGCCTCTTTGTTCTCCACGGCCGCCAAAGGCCTGCCCAGTGCCTGCCAGGCGCCCCTCCCCCACAGCAGTCAGACCTGGCCTGACCTGGTCTCTAGCTGTCCTTGTCCCTCACTCTGGCGGGGGCCCTGGCCCCGGCCCTGGGCCTGACTCTGACGTCGGGCTGGGCCTCTGGCTCTCTGCTGCAAGCTTGTTCTGGGCAGTGTGTGCAGGAAGGAGGAGGCAGGACAGCTCCTGTGGCTGCACTGGGTGATCGTGGCCTAGAGCTGGGCTCTTCCGAGTGCTTCCTGAAGTGCCAAGGCCAGTGGGAGACGGCGGTCTCCCGTCGGGGGCACTTGGACTTTGTCAAGTAACTAGTTCTTTGGCTCCAAGAAATCACCAGACAGGATTGCCCCCATTGTACAGATAACAAACTGCAACTCGGACAGAGAACAAGACTCGTCCAAGAGCAAGGCTAAGCTGGGGCTGGTGGCGGGCCCTGATCAAAACCCAGGCCCCCAGCTGCCTTGGGAGAAGGACTGGTCACCTGCCGAGGAATGGAGAGGGGCCTGGGAGTGCACACCTAGGTCCCTCCTGCTGTTAACAGCCGTGGTGTGTGTGTGTGTGTGTGTGTGTGTGTGTGTCCTTGCGGGGTGACCTTGGCCAGGAAAGCACACAGCCAGGAGTTGTGGAGTGGGGAGCTCGTCAGCAAGGTCACCTCAGTTCAGGCCTCCCGGCATCTCCAACAGGGACAGGAGGCTGCCAGCCCAGGGGGCAGATGCTGGCTTGGGGCCCCAGCCTCCATTCCCAGGCCCAGCCTAGCTCTGGACTACGACAGAGGGGGGTGGTGACAGCCACACAGCTGAGCTGGAGTCAGGCCGCCTGCCTCTGACCTGATCACAGCACCAGCTCCCGCCCAGCCCCTCTGCCCACCTGCAGCTGTGGCCCCAGCAGCCCCCAGCATGGTCATAGTGCAGACCTCAGCCCCAATCCCCTGCTGAAAGGGGGCCGGGCACAGAGAGGCACCGCTGTCCCCCAAGGTCACACAGTCCTGCGGTGAGTCCTGGCCCCAGAGGCGCGCGTCTCCCTCAAGGGCCCTTCCTGCCACATTGAATGGGGAGCAGCAGCGATGATGGAGGGGCATGGAGGGTCCCCCGAGGCCGCCGGCCGGGCTGCCAGAACGGACACTTTCATCTCTCTCCGCCTGTCGACCTGCCATCTCTCGCAGCATTGAATTCCCCTCCTGCCCAAGAACAAGGGCTGCCTCAGATTCCAGGCAGCAGGGCGTGAAGATGGGGCGGGCCCAGGGGAGGGAGGCCGGGCCTGCTCTGGGGGCTCCAGGCCTGGGCACAGCACGAGGGGGCTCCGTGGCCACTACCCCAGCCTCCTGATTAATTCCCCAGCAGAGGCAGGGCTGCTTCCTGTCCCATCTCCCTCCAAGGGCCCTTGCTGAGCCCTGCAGGCTGGGCCAGGCATCCCCGTGTCCCCCCCCCCCCATCTCCGTGCTGATCGCTTTGGGTGACAGCAGTGGGCTCCAGGGCCGCAGGCGCGAAGGGCAGCTCGGACACCTGGCACGAGGAGGGGCGAGGAGAGCTGTGAGCGAACAGTCCTTATCGCCTCTCAGGACATACCTCTCACCTGTGTGTTGGAAACTGGGCGCTGCCCACAGGTGTGGGAGACTCACCACCAAGGACCTGCTTACCCAGCGCCTCCACACGCCTTGGTCAGAGGCGTAGGATCCCTTCCCACCTCCGAGGTGGTCAGCTGGGCGGGGCCAGTCCCCCGCCCGCGTGCATGCCCGCCCACCCGCACTCAGCGCTCACGACTCCAGGAGGGCACTGGTGAGTTAGCCCCCTTTTCTAAACGACAAAGTTGGGGCTCAGAGAGGCACAGAGACACGCAAGGCTGCACAGGCGCCTCTGCTTGCGGGAGGAGGCCTCCGGCACCTGGTTACGCTTCAGGCTGCGCCTGGGAGCACCTGCCCACCCACAGGCGGCCGTGATCACACCCAGGTGTGGGCTGACCGCCGCTTCCTTCCATCAGCTGCTCTGCCCCTTCTGACCGTTTCTTTCCTTCTTTGTCTTGTTTCACTTTGGGGGACATATTTATTTATTGTTCTACAGATCCGAATGCCCCATAATTTCCTTAAACAAGCATTCTCGAGCCCAGAAAAGCCTGCAAACCAAGGGTGCTGTGTGGGTGGGGCCCGGGAGTGGAGGGCAGCCTTGGTGCTCTGGGGGTCCAGGGTGGGCACGGCCTGTGCCTCCCCCTCCCTGGAGTCTCTCCGCCTGGTTCTGAAGCCTGCCCAGGAGGAGGGGGCACCCCAAGTTTTGCTCTGCAGTAGTGGGGTCCACAGGCAGCTGCCAGAGATCCCGGGGGAGTGGCTGCCAGGGTGAGGCCAAGGGCAGTCCCAGTGCCGTTGATAAGGAGACAGGGCCTCTTGAGCAGGGCCACAGTGAAGCCATGGAAACATGCCTGAGGTGTGAGGCTGGCCCAGCCGCCTCCCCCAGGTGGCCGCCTCCCAGGCCTGGCAGGGGCGTGTCTTCGCCCTCCTGGGGGCCAGGCCTGGGCTGGCACTGCACAAGCTTGCTGTCACCCCAGTCCATTTCCCCGGGGCCAGGCTGGAGTCCAGCCTTGGGTGTGAGTGGGCCCTCGCCCCCCGCCCGCTCCAGTCCCCACTTCCCTATCAGTACGTGTGCATTATTTACCTTAAAGCATTTTGATAAATCATAATAGCAGAGACATCTGCTGTCAAAACTGCAAACTGCATTTGAGGTTCAGCTGGTGGACGCCGAGGGCTAGAGGCCAGGGATGCGAGGGCTCTGACGCTCCGGGGGGCGACAGGCACGCCCCCACCCCTCGTCCCTGCCTCGGCCCTGAAGGGACCCCTCTTCGCCAGCTGCTGATGAGAAAAACCTTCCCAAGGAGCCTGTCCACCCCCCAACTGTGTTCCTCCTTCCTGCCTCCCTCTGCCTCCGAATTAATGCGGCGGTGACAGCAGCGCGGCGAAGTCCCCCGAGCGGAGATTAACTCCCGGGGCAGCGCGGGCGGGCTTGGCCATGGGAGCCTGGGGGTGGGGGTGGGGGGCTGACACGCAGACCTCACAAGATTAATCACCCTGCAGCAGCCTCGTCACGAGGCACCCCGCGCTCGACCCCTGCCCGCAGGAGGGGCGCTGGGTCCCGTGTCGGGGGCCTGCCCTGCCTCCCCCAGCCCCCACGGCTCCCAGTTCAACTCGTGGGAGGATTTGGGGAGCTGAGACAGCGCTCCTTTCTCATTTTCTCTTCCCTTCCTGGTGGCCCGCAGGGACTTGCGGACCAGCGGCAATCCTGTGGTCTCTTTCCCTCCCCCAGCTCCTGGTCTGGTTCGGCAGCCTGGGAGGGGGAGGCTGGGACTGGCTGGCCTACCTACTTGCTGGGGCTGCTGGCCCCTGTGGACTGCTGCACTGGCTGCCTGGGCTGCACTGTTTGTATGCGGAGGGGCGTGGCTGGCAACTACCTAGAGAGGACCCCAAGGGGGGGGTCAAGAGAAAAGGCCGCCTAAGGCCAGGCGCGGGCAGGGATGCACAGAGGCTTCCTTCTCAGCGGTAGGCATCACCCGCAGGGATGTGAGAGGAAAAGGCGATGTCCCCTGTGACAAGGGCCGGTCAACCCTCCAGCCTTGCACCTCTTGGTCATCAAGAGATGCAAGTAGCCTGGGAGAGCCAAGGGGGCTTCCTGGAGGAGGTGTGAGTCAAACTGCTCACTTACTTAGGAGGTTTGGAGCCCCGTTCTTCCGGGTCAGTGAGGAAGCCACACAATAGGGAGCCCCAGATGCCGTGAGGGCCCACTTCACGATCCAGCATACAAGAGTGCATTTCATGGGGGGTTCTGGACCCTGGAGAACCTTTGGAGGGGCTGCCAGCTGCAGCGGAGCCTTTCGTCAGCCTGATGTTGGGGGCCCATGGGGCTGGGGTGGGGGACCAGCCAGAGGCCACGATCCCCACCACCTCTTCTTCTTTAGAGGAACAAAGACGTCTTCCACATGGGGCTTGGGCTTGACAGGAAGTGACCTGTCTGTTGGGGGCTTGGGCCACTCGTGACAGGATGGGGATCCATGTTACAGAATGGCCAGGCTGGGGGCCGGTGTCGTGGTGTAGCAGGTGAAGCTGTCCCCTCCCATAACAGAGCGCCGGTTCAAGTCCCGGCTGCTCTGCTCACCATCCAGCTGTCTGCTAATGTGCCAGGGAAAGCAGCCGAAGATGGGCCCAGTGCTTGGGTCCCTGCCTCCCATGTGGGAGACCTGGATGGGGTTTCTGGCTCCTGGCTTCAGCCTGGCCCAGCCCTGGCTGTAGCAGCCATTTGGGGAGTCCACCAACAGATGAGAAGATCTCTTTCTCTCTGTGTGTTTCAAATGAACAAATAAGTAAATCTTAAAAGAAAAAAAGAGGCTGGCGCCGTGGCTCAATAGGCTAATCCTCCGCCTAGCGGTGCCGGCACACCAGGTTCTAGTCCTGGTCGGGGCACCAGATTCTGTCCTGGTTGCCCCTCTTCCAGGCCAGCTCTCTGCTGTGGCCCGGGAGTGCAGTGGAGGATGGCCCAAGTGCTTGGGTCCTGCACCCCATGGGAGACCAGGAGAAGCACCTGGCTCCCGGCTTTGGATCAGCGCGATGCGCTGGCCGCAGCGCACCGGCCGTGGCGGCCATTGGAGGGTGAACCAACGGCAAAGGAAGACCTTTCTCTCTGTCTGTCTCTCTCTCTCTCACTGTCCACTCTGCCTGTCAAAAAAAAAAAAAAAAAACAAAAAAAACAAGGAAAGGCGGGGCTGGCTGGAGGGTGTCAGTATCCACTCCCTTCCCACAGGTGGGGGTAGGACACCTGCGCCCCCCAGGCCCTGAGCTAGGAGCAGCAGAGTCTTGGCTGAGAGAATTGGGGCTGCCACTGCCGTCCATGCGCTCCCGCTCACTGGCGCCAGTCACATGACCAAAGGCAGAGCCAGCCCTTCCCGCCCTGTGCTGTCCCAATTAGTGCCGCGGGGTTACCTTTCTGCATTAGTCAGCCACTGTTTCAGGCCTCTCCTTGGAGCTGAAGAGCTAGGAGGGTGCAGCCATTTGGGGGTCACGCAGCCCTTCGCTGCACCTGTTATGCCCCCCTTGCCCTCGTCTGCTTTTCCATCCACACCCCCTCACCCCTGACCCTGTGGCCAGCAGCCTTCATTGCTGTCATCTGTTGTCATGGGAACCACGCGGCTGTGACCTGGCACAGGCAGGAGCAGACCCAGAGCTCCTCGCAGGGGATGCTGAGGGTAGCTGGGGGCGCCAACCTGCCCCTCGGCTGGGTGCTAATGCACCCCCCCCAGGGATGCCGAAGCCCACGTGGGGAGGATGACACAGATGGGGGGTGGTCTGGAGTGCAAGGGGTCAAGGCCTAACTGCCCCCAGCCCCTGAAGTCCCTGTCCCTTTCCAGGCCCACCTGCCTAACCCAGCTCCAGGCTGCTGGTGGTGGGGAGGGGTGGTGGGTACCTTTCCATTTCCCTCACTGCCAATGGGAGCGCAGAGCCCTGAGCTCAGCTCATTCTCCAGGCTAAAAATACCAGGGAGGCAGCAGCAGCAGCTCCCCCAAAACCCTGGCCACCGCCTCCCCTCTCCAGCGCACACACACACACACACACAGACCCAGCCTGGACCAGACACTAAGGTGCTGCTCACCCACCCACACCATGGTCCAGGAAGGGTCTTGAAATCCCACCACTGAGACCCAGATCCAAGTCCTGCCACCTCTGACCCCAATTTGCTGTGTGATCCTGGGGTAGTCCTTTGGTTTTTCCTCTCTGGGTAACATGGGTATTACCTGGCTGCCCCCACCTCATTTAATAAGTGTAGCAGCCCTACCAGCCCCCTGAAGTATGCACCAGTCACAGCTGCTTTTCCAGACAAGCTCACTGAGGCCGGCGCGGGCAGGGTGCTGAAGAGCCGCTAACCTGGACTTCGGTTCCAGCCTGGAACTCTCTTGCCCTGCAGTGGTCAGGTGAGCTCCGGGAGCTCCAGGTGCTGTTGAAAAATAGACCTGTGCCCCGTGGCGGGGCAGGGTTCCTGGTCTGTGAGCTGGACTGAGAAGGGGGTGGGGAGTCCACACTGCCCTCCCCCCAGGGTCTGGTTGGGCTTGCGGGGTGTGCCTGCACCATGGTCTGTCAGAGGGCTGGCCAGGGTGGGGCTGAGGGTCTGTCCTGCCCACCCTGGGTGTGGCCGAGGCTCAGACAAGCAGTTAGCAGAGGCTTGGGGTGAATGTCCATGTTGCTCATGTACCTGGCACTGAGCAAGGCGAGGGTTAGCAGCCAGCTGCCCAACTCTGAAGGCAGCTGCGGGGTTCACTGTGACCCTGCAGCTGAGGTCAAGGTGACTGTGCCCCTGTCCATCTGCCCTGGCCCACGTCTCCTTTCCACCAGCCCTGGGTTCCAGAGTTCCTCGTCGCTTTCCTATTCTCTCTTAGGAACCCGAATTATCTAGTTTCATTTGAGAACTGTGCGGGGGCAGGATCCTCCCAGGGTACCAGGAAAAATCCACCACTGGGCACTGGGCGCCACACCCTCAGGGGCTCCGTCACTGAGTGCCCACCCTTCTCCCCACCAGCCCTGCCACCCACTTCCACTGACAGTTTGAGACCCCCAGGGCTCACCTCCCCTCGCACCAACGTTTGGAGCTGGCCAGGATATGGATTTTCTGAGGGGCCACCCTAACCTGCTTTCAGGCACACGCGCTAAGTAAGCAATGCCAGCTCTTCCCGGAGGTAGGGAGGTAGCCGTGTGACCCTGGGTCGGACACTTCGTCTTCCTGGGTCAGTTTTTCTATCTGTAGAGCAGGTGTTCAACAGCACCTCGCTACAAGGGTTGTGTGAGGTTTCAATGAGACATCCCCACTCTTCCTGGAGGCTGGCAGCGAAGAGGCATGCTCCGAGAGAACGCGGGGCCGTTTGTTCCTGAACTGAGTGCCCGGAGCTGCCTGAGTCGCTGGGTGGCGGAGCCCGAGACGGCAGCTGGAGTCCCCAGCTCTGTGCACCCCAGGTCTCCCAAAGACAGGCCATGGCCCTGAGTTTTATGAACGTGCTTTCAGCCCATGAATGAGCGCCGTCACGCAAGGCATTAATACACTGCACCACACGGGTGGGGAAGATGAAACGGCTATTAGGAGATTAGAAGTGAAGCTGATGCCCACCTCTCGGTGCTGTTACCTCTTAGGAAAATTACGAGAGGCAGCCCAGGGGGAGGATGGTCCTAGGGTTCTGGTGGGGTGGGGAAGGGGCTACCTCCTGGAGCCCCATTTGGTCTTTGGAAGAGGCAGGCCCCGGGGCGAGGGGTCTTCGATCCTGGGCTGTGGAGTGGGTGCTGGGACCAGACGCTGGGCATGGGCCTGGGTTCTGCCTCCTGTGGGTCCCTGGGTCAGGACCTTCCGCTTGCCAAGCCCCTGAGTTTGCGCATCTGCAAAGGCAGGCTAATAACAGAAGCTCCCCGGGCCCAGGCAGGGATCCAGGGAGATGACTTCCAGAAAGCACCCAGCCAGGGCCTGGCGCATAGTAGGTGTTCATTCTGTAGCCAGGATTGGTAGCAACATCATCCCCGCCATGTCTCCCTGTGAGGATTTCACGGCCAGCTGCCCTTTCTTAGGCTGCCCGTGTGCGGTGTGCACCTGGGGTAGGGACGGGGATCCCGTTCTGTAAGATGAGAAAAGCCAGGCCCAGCCAAGGGGCCAGGGTCACACATCACTCCAAGGTGGGGGCGGGGGCGGTCAGGAACAGCGCTCCCCACACAGTGCAGTGCCTACCAGGCTGAAGAGGTGTCATGGCCTCCTCCCTTTCCCCTGCACCTGCCCCTGCTGGGCCCCAGGTGAACTCCGGAGAGCTAAGGCCCGCGCGGCGCTCTAATCAGAGCGAGGCCGCAGAGCAGCACGGGGAGCGGGGATGGGCTCGGCAGGTAGCAGGGCCGGCGCAGCCGCAGGGAGGCTGCGAAGCCGGCGGCCAGGCCGGCGGTGGGCTGCGGAGGGTGCGCGCTGAGGGGGCGGGAGAGCACGGCGCGGGTGAGTCACCGTTTCTGGGCCAGGCAGGCGGCGGCTGCGGAGCGGGGGGCGCATTCCTGGCTGGCAGGGCGGCCGGCACTAATGTCTTTCCCACATGGCCCCGAGTTCCCCGCTCGGCACGATCACACGGGCAAGGCGCTCCCGCGGCCACCCCCGCCCCAGCTGCCGCCTTCCCACAGCGAGGGGAGGGAGGGGAGCGCGCGGCGGAGCGGCCCCTGCGCGCCGGCGGGGGTCTCGCCCCGCGGTCCGCACCCGGGAGCCAGGAACCGGGCAGCTGTGCTCAGAAGAAGAGAACGGGGAAGCGGCCAAAGGCAGGCGGCCCCTTGGCCACGTCTCTGCCCCCCGACCTCCCCTCCTCCCACGCGGCCCCAACGCTGCCCGCCCCCTTCCCGCCTTCCCGACCTCTGGGCGCTGGGTGCGGTGCAGTGGGGGCGATCCGAGGCGGAGGCGCATCCGGTGGGGGCCTGGGCTGGGCGACTCCTGGAAGAGGCCACACCCAGCCCCGGTTGCCTAGGGTGGAGGACGGCCCTTGGAGGGGACTCGGAGCGCTGCTCTCCCACGCAGCCCCTGTCCCTGGGGCAGGCCCTGGGGGGAAACTGAGGCTGGGAGGGAGGGCCACTCAGAGCTCCTGGTCTGTTAGGGGGAGCTGGCGTGTGTCCCTGCCAGCTGGGCTCAGAGGCGCTAATGACAGTTAAATGTAGGGAGTGAGTCACCTCGGGGCGGGGGGGGGGGGTGGAGTGGGACCACCCCCAGATGTGGAGGTTGCAGGGAGGTGTGTCTCCCACACTCCACCCCCTGCCCCTGGCCTGGTGGGGCGGGATTCTGACCTAGCTGACCCTCCCGCGCCCCTCCCCCCAACCTCCCAAGACTGGCTGGCCGCGTCAGGCGCGGGGGCCATGGGACAACGGGGTTGGGGGAGACCCCAGACCCCAGGAAGGGGCTTGAGCATCTTGAGGTGGACCAACACCCGGGATTTCTCGTGGCCCTGGGCCCTGGCTGGGGATGGGGGTGGGCCCAGGCCACACTGAAGACCCTCCCACCCCTACCTCTGTCTACTCTGTCTAGCCTTGCTCAGGCACCAGGCTGTGGCCACACAGGGCACGGTGACGTGGGTCTGTAGTCCTGGTGGCAGAGGGGGAGGTAGCGCGAGTGTGTGTGCGTGTGTGGGTGTGCGCGCACTGGCCCCGGGACTGGGTCTGTTTTTGCCGCGCAGTGTGTCTTCGTGACTTTATGTGCAACTGGCTGTCTCCGAGTGGGCCTCTGTTGCAGGGGCTTGGAGGGAATGTGTCTCTGCGTGTCTCTGTTAGTCACTTCTATGTGTGCCTGTGTCACCAGACCCCATCCACAGGGTCCCTGGCTCCTCCTTGAGCACCCCGCTGCCACCACCAGGAGCCACGGGGTTAGGGGAGCCAGCCTGGGAGGGTGCTGTGGTGGTGGGGGGTGAAGCGCCCGCCCGCCCGCTGTTTCCCAGATGGAGTAGCCTGGCTGGGTGGGCAGCACTAGGGGGTGGGCGTGGGCCGCCACGGGAGAGAGAGCAGGGGAGCCTGGGGGGGGGCTGCTCAGCAGTCCCCTCCCTGCTCCCTCGCTCCTAGCCCAGCGCCTCCTGGCAAGAGCTTATTTGCATGGTATTTACATTTCATTTGCATCGCGTTCAATTAAAAACCTGACCAGCTCCCGCCTGCCTGGCGCTGCCCGCCCAGCCTGGTGAAAATGTTGGTTGGGCACTGCCGCCTTCCCACCCCCCTAACCCCCCCACGGACTGACCGATGTGGGAGGGGTCCTCCCCTCAGTGAGATCATCTGAGTCACCCATCCTAGAAGTGACAGGGCTGGAAGCACAATGGAGAAACTGAGGCCCAGAAGGGCCTGCCTCGAGCTGCAGGCCACGGCTAGCGTCAGACGTAGCCGGAAGGGTGTCAGCAGTCACGGCTGTGCTCCACAGAAGACTTGCTGGGCCAGGAGTGGGGCCAGCGCCTCAGCTGCAGTACCCACTGGGGCTGCACCGCCATTGTTATCCCCACTGCACACATGAGAAACCAAGGCCAGCGAGGGCCAGCCCAGGGCCTCTCTGTCAGTGTGACTTCCAAGTCCCTGACCATGGCTCCCAAAAGGCCAAGCCTCCCTCCTCCTGGTGAGACAGGGTCATTTCCCCAGGGTCATTAACTCCAGGATAGGCCATTGCAGCCCTCACCCTAACCTGGGGGCTGGTGCTCTTCACTGATAGCCTTGCTGGTGCCTGGGTGGAGGAGGGAGCACCTGCCCTGTGGAAGTCCCTCCTGGGACCTGGCTGCAGTCTTTCCTGTTGCCAAGTTGCCCTTGGTGGGCCCTGCTCAGAGCTGGTGACGTTGTGAAAGGCAGGAAAAGACCCTGAGAATGAAGCGAACCCAGAGGCATCCGAGTCACAGAGCTAGGGGAGAAGGGTGAATACGGAGATCTGACAGACATCTGAGCCACAGGGCAAGCTGGGGCCCCGTGACCCTCAAGGCCTGCCTGGAGCCCCTTGCATTTAGCAGGAAGCTGGGAACTCAGTTCTGGGGAGGGAGTCGGGACTCCTCGTGCTGCCCATGCAGGGGTCACTTGGGCCTAGGTAGGAGCCTGGTGTCCACAGGACCCCATACACCTCCTTCCCACCCACCCTTGGTGCTGGGGGACCTGGCCACTCAGACCTCCCTGGCCAGGGTGACTGGTTCAGCAATGGGTGTGTGACCTGAGCCTGACCGATCGGGTCCAGCTGAGTCCGAAGGCCGTGGCTGGAATTATTGGCAAGGGGGGCATTGTCTGTCGCAGCAGCTTGCGAATTCTCTCCCCACTCTGAGGAGAGCTGCCCACTTGTGAAGCCAGCAACGGCCACGGATCCTCTGCTACTTGAAGCCCAACACTCTGGTTTGATTCTCAGAGGGAGACGAGTGGTTCCAGATTTGCTTTAGCCGCTATGTGTTGGGTCTGTTGAACTTGCAGCCTCAGGTTCAGAGCTCGTGGTGCCTCCTCAGCCCGTTGCTTGCGTCCAGCCTGTGTCCGTGCGGGTCTCCCCTGCCTGGAACTGGCCCTGCGCTGACCAGTACCCGAGGTCAGCTTACCTCCTGGCCAGGTTCTGTGCCCACCCTTCTCTCCTCACAGCCGTCCTGGAGAGCCCCGGGGACTTCTGTGTCCGTGCCCACACCCGGAGCTGATGATCCTTACCTGGGCCTGCCTCCGGTACCGCCAGCTCTTGAAGAGAGGAGGGCTGGAGCGTGTGGCTGGAAGCTTAGCTTTGGCCTCGGGCAGCCTGGGTCCCAGTTCCAGCCCATCTGGGTGAGCTTTGAACCAGCCGCTCCTCCTGTGAGTTTCCTCTTCTGTTTGTTTTTATTATTCATTGACATAGAATTGTACCAATTTATGGAGTTCCCATAAATGTGGAAATCGTGAACTTCCGGATTTTTAAAATGAGGATGTTGGGGCCTGTGCCCGGGCATGGAGTTAGGCCACCGCTCGTGACCCTGACTTCTCATTTTGCAGTTTCCTTTCAAGTTCTGGCCTCTCTGCTTCTGATCCAGATTCCTGCTGATGAGCCTAGGAAGGCAAGACAACCCAAGTGCTTGGACCCCTGCCACCCACTTGGGAGTCCCAGATGCAGGACCTGGCTCCTGGCTTTGTCCTTGCCTAGCCCCAGCTGTCCTGAACATTTGGGGAGTGAGCCAGTAGATGGAAGCTCTCTCTCTGTATCTGTCCCTTCCTCTGTCACTCTGCCTTCCAAAACATGGAGTCAGTCGGGGGTGGTGCTGTGGAGCAGTGGGCGAAGCTGCCACTTGGAATGCCAGCATCCAGTAGCACAGCACTGGTTCCAGTCTGCTCCACTTCCAGTCCAGTTTGTTCCCTGCTAGTGCGCCTGGGAGAGCAGCTGAAGATGGTCCAGTGCTCAGATCCCTGCCACCCACCAGGAAGTCCCGGATGGATCTGGCACAGCCCGGGGCATTGCAGCCATTGGGGAGTGAATCTGCAGATGGAAGATGTCTTTCTCTCTCTCTCTTCTTTTTCTCTGTAAATCTGCCTTTCACATAAATACATCTTTTTTTTTTTTTTTTTTAACAGAGATAAAGGTTTAAAAACTGAAATAGAGGCCGGCATCATGGCATAGTGGGTTAAGGTGTGACACCGGCATCCAATATGAGCGCCAGTTCGAGTCCCAGCTGCTCTGCTTCCAATCCAGCTCCCTCTAATGCACCTGGGAAAGCAGCGGAGAACAACCCTAGTGGTTGGGCCGCTGCACCCATGTAGGAGACCCTGGTGGAGCTCCTGGCTCCTGTCTGCTCCAGGTCCGGCCCTTTCAGCCATTTGGGGAGCGAACCAGCGAATGGAAAATTCTCCCTCCTCTCTTTTTCTCTCTCCCCTCCTCCTCTCTCTCTCACTATGCCTTTCAATTAAATAAATAAATTAGGTGAAATAGGGACATCGGGTGGACGTTTGGCATTGCACTTAAGCTGCTGCTTGGGGCACCTGCATCGATGTGGAGTTCTGGATCCGCTGCTCGGCTTCTGATTCCAGCTTCCTCCCAGCGCACGTCCTGGGAGGACGGAGTTCTGGGCTTCTGTCTTCAGCCTGACCTGGGCCTGGCTGTTGTGGGTGTGTGGGGGAATGAACCAGCAGATGGGAGCACTCTCTCTGCCTTTCAAATAAATAAGTAAGGACATGTCAAGGGGGGTGTGGAGAGGACTCCGAGTCTGCAGGAGAAGCGCAGATGTGGAACGCAAGGCACAGTCAGCCCACAGGTGTTTTCTGGGCCCCCACAGGTGCCCCGAAGTGAGGGCTCTGCTGTGCAGCACCCACAGGCGTGGGGCCTGCCTTAGGCAGCACCAGCACAGCGCAGCCAATCAGGAGAGGGCTCTCGCCGGCCTCCCAGCTCTCCCCTGCCTTCTCCCGCTCCGTGGCCCTGGGTGGGGGGAGGTCCGGCCAGCCCCTCCCCCTCTGTCGTCCCTCAGTGCCTTGGAGCCAGTGCAGCCGCTCTGAGTTAATCTCCTTGCCCGTCAGGGGGTGACAGGAGGTGTCTGTCATTCGGAGCCTTGCCGGCTAATTGGGGCGCAGGCGGCGGGAGCACGGGAAATGGCCGGAGGGAAGGAGGAGGAATGAGGCAGGGAAGCAGCCTCACCTCCTTCCCGCCGGCTTGCAAGGGGGCGAGGGGGTGGCAGACGGGAAGGGGCAGGGGCTGGGAGGAGGGGACTCCGTGACCTTGGCCTGAGTGCAGGTCCTCTCTGGGCTGCGCGATATTAATCACAATCATACCGGAGAGCCTTTAGTGAGCAATTACTGTGCAGATCCCATGCCTGTGGAAAATCTCCCGTGGTTTTCTAGGGCCTCTGGAATTCATGCTGGACTCCTCCAAGGGCCTTAAGGACTTCCAGGCCCCGTGCCCTCGGGGCTCAGCCCTCCCTGCCCCTTCTCCTGTGGCCATTCCATTTTTCCCCAGAGCAAGCTCTTCCTGCCCCCAGGGCCTTTGCACTTCCTGTTTGTGCTCCTTGGAACCTTTCTCTCTCTCAGCATGGCGGGCTCCTGCTCCTTCTTCAGATCTGAGTCCCGCTGACATCTCAGAGAGGACGCCTTTATCCTCCCTATCCCAAACCCCTCTGTCCCGGCTCTGGCTACCCTCGTACATTCTCCTGCTTATACCTCCACGGCCTTTGTTACATTGCGCAATGCTGCTTTTCTGTTCGTGGTTTCTGTTCATTGCCCCCTGAGAAGGGAGGACCTTGTCTGTGTGATTTACTGCTGCAGCCCCACGCCTAGAACCGTGCCCCGCACCCGAAGACTCTCTGCTTGTAAAGGATGAACCCTGGTGAAGCGGCGAAGACTCTGCTTGTACCCTCGCATCCCATCCCACGGCACAGGGCCTGGCTGTGGCTCCAGCTCTGCTTCGGATTCCAGCTTCCTGCTAATGCGCAGCAGGTGGCGGCGGAAGTAGCTGAGTCTGGTGCCCATGGGGCAGGGCCCGCTCCTGGTGCCAGCATGGTCCAGCCCCTGGTGCTGTTGGCATTCGGAGGAATGAACCAGTGCATGCAAGATCTCTGCCTGTCTCTGTCTCTCTGCCTTTCAAGTAAACAACAACGATAAAAAGAAGTAACGGGTTTCAGGCATTCTCTAGAGTACCTAATCCAATGTATTTGTCACAAAAAGTCTTTGGACCTTGATATTCTGGCCATTTTGAGGTGAGGAAACGGAGGCAGAAGGAGTCCCCAGTGACTGTAAGTATGGGACCTGGGCCCTAGGTGCACAAGGAGACGCGGCCAGAACCCCGGCGGGAGAGGTCATGGGGCTGAGCAGCTCGGCTCAGAGCAGAGAGCACACGGTTCGGTGGGAGGGGGCTCTGGGGGCCTCCACTCGGCCTGGCCCTAGATAGAGGGGCTACCGTGGGGGCAGGCAGGGAAGCTCCCACACCTCTCCCTGAAGTCTGCGTCTACCTTTCTGGCCTGTCAGACAGCTGCCTCTCCCGCTGTCCCTTGGCTGTCCCCCGCACCGCTGTCTGGTCACAGGTCTGATGCCCACCTGTGCTGCCTTCTCCAGGAAGCATTAGTGTTTGTGCGGTGGTCATCTACAGGTGTCCCCACACTTGTCAAACTGTCAGTGTCTCCTGTCACTTGCACATGGGTGGCACCTACTGGGTGCCTCCAGGCCCGAAATCTCAACTTTGAGTGGGAGAAGGGGCTTAGGGGGCTGCAAGATGCCTCTGCCCATCACAGTCCTCAGCTGCCGATACCTCTGGGCCAAGCAGACCTCATGATGCTCATTCCAATGACAGCTGGCTCCAATCAGCACAGGTTGTTGGCCTGCGCGCTCTCACACGGGCCAATCACAGCGCTCCTTCCTCCGTCGCCCCAAGGGTCTGACTTGGTTGAAGGTGCAGGCTGAGGCCAGACCAGGCCCAGGAGGGTCATAGAGTCACAGTTCCTTCTTTCTGGCCCTTGCTACCGTCCTGTTACTGGCCTCTCCGTGGCTTCCTGGCCCGCCCCTCTGCTTCCGCCTGGCCCGAGCAGCCCTATCACAGGAACAGGGAGGCATGAGGTCGGCAGGAGGCAGCTGGGCTGCGGTGAGGATGCTGATAGGGACAGGCCAGCCACCGCCTGGCACCAAGGCTGCCTCTCCCTTCCCAACCGTGGTGGCAGGCGCCGGGTGCCCCGAGGTTTCCTGCTGCACTGGCTGCCAACCCTGCCACCCCACCACGCTCCTAGGGATGGATGGAGGGGCGGGCGCAGGCAGGAGTCCTGGAAGTAGTCAAGCTTAGGCCCACCCCGGCAGCCCCACCTCCTGCTCTGGGTCAGCAGGTAGGTGGAAGGGGAGGCTAAGTGAGGGACAGGGCTCCAGGGCCAAGCCTCTGTGCTTTCTGATGTTATGTGAACAGCATGCAAAACAGATGCAAATATTATGCAAAGCAGAACTTTGTTTTTCCAGTCAACAGTGCTCAGGTGCTCTGAAAGGGGGGCCCAGACACCAAGAGGAGGCAGGCAGTGAGGACGGTCATCATGGCTGCTGTGTGGGGAGCATGCCCCGTGCCAGCAGCTTCCTTCCTTGAAGGCCCACGGGGAGGCAGAGGGCAGGCGGGGCAGGGCCGTCTCCTGTGAGGAGCTTCCGTGCCTTTGATGGCTTAGAAGACCAGGTAGCAGAATGGCCAGACTCTCCTGCTCTGGCCCCCAGCAGACCCGGCTTGGGTTCCCAGAGCCACTTCAGTGCCTGTGACCTTGGGCAAGGCACTCCACCCCTGGAAGCTTCTGTTTGTTGGCTCATAAATTAAGAAGAGGTCATTGTTCCATCTCAGGGGCTGGTTGTAAGGACTAGGTGACACGCGTGACAGGTATAGACCGGGGCAAGGTGCCCGGCCCTGCACAAGGCTCTGTGCGTGGGAATCCTGACTGTGGTGAACACCTGACCACCTCACCTGCTCGGACCTGTACATTTCTGGAGGACAAAATGCCACAGCTAACCGTCAGCAGTCTGGGCGTGTGGGATCCCACGGCAGCCTTGCCACAGCGAGGGCCACTGAGCTGATGGGCAGGGCGGGAGGCCGCGCCCACACTAAGACCCCCAGGCAGCTCTTGGGGTAGCCCCAGCATGGGGAGGGGTCAGGGTCCCGGGATGCGGAGGACCCTAAGGGGACGGGTCGCTCCTCAGTGACCCCATGTGCCCAGAGTGCTCTCCGAACAAAGGAGCGGTCAAGCTCCTGCCCTCAGCAAGTGAAAACAAGCGAGGGGCAGAGGCCAGGCGCTGCTGCGGGCGGTTCTGGCAGCAAGAGGCAGGTGTGTGAGGGTGCGTGGGGAGCAGGGGACGTCTTCCCGTAATGACCGAAATAGATTAAGCATCACCTCTTATCTGGGTTCCGTGGCAAACACCTTGCACCTTGCATCACCGCAAACCTCACCACCGCCGTCTCCGTCTCCTCCGTTACCAGCCACCTCCCTTTCTTTTCAAATGCTCCAGGAGACTGAGGCTTGCCCAAGGCCACTCAGCCGGTGAATGAGCACCAGGATTTGAGGCCTGGCATTCGAGCTCCAGCTTTATCCTTAACCTCTGCGCAGCTCCTTCATGGTCACGAGGGCCGCATCCTGCTCCTCCGCCCACGCTTGCTCTTCTGCCTCACCCGACACCCAGCTCTCCTGCGGAGGGAGATGGCCAAGCCAGCAGCCTTGCCTGCGCCCTGCTCCTGGTCCCCTGCTTGCATTTTTGCTTTCCTAAGGTCTGTAGAGCAGCCAGAAGGGCCTGGCTGTGGGCCTTCAGCATAGCTGCTTCAAGATGGTGCTTGTGACACCCGCGTCCCGTGCAGAAGTGCCCGGGTTCAAGTCCTGCCTCTGATCTCCATCCCAGCTTCCTTCTAACGAGCACCCTGGGAGGCAGTAGGCGAGGGCTCAAATACTTGGGTCCCTGCCACCCATGTGGGAGACCTGGATGGCTGATGGCTGGGTCTGGGGAGAGAAGCAGGAGTTGGGAGATTTCTCTTTTTCCTTTTAGCCTCCGAATAAATAACTGAAAACGATTTTTTTTTTTTTTTTAGTCAGATCTGAGTCCTAGCTTGAAACCTATCACAGGTTCCTGTTG